TTTTTTTCCTAAATTGTTTATTATAACAGTAATTCATACTTTATTCTACTGTTATTAATTGATTATATTCACTTATAACAATTAATCTACTTGAAATTACTAAATTTGATCAGCACAAACTATAGCAACGCAAAAATTTCGATCCTGACTTTTTCTCGATGGGGAAAGTGATCTGCCACAGACTAAATAATTCTAGAATGCATAGTAATCCTTCATTAGATGGAAAACTACAGTTAAAACAAGATATTTCACAGCTTGCATCTACACCCACTAGGGTGCGCTGGAATTATTTTTACATGAACTGTAGCTTCAAGGGAATAGTTTGTTATAAAAATGCAGCCAACGCGAGATTTAAGTTGGTACTAACTGTAAATTTTTATTATGATTACAAAAAATACTAAAATCCGAATAAAAACAGTTTCACTGTAAAAAAATCGTGCCATGTCCACGTTCATAAGACTATTAAGAGAAAAATTAGTTTTTTTCTTTACAAAAAGATATAAAATTAAAAAATTAAAAAATCCAAGTAACCGATATATGATTGTTTATGATTTTCGGAAATTAAAAAAAATTTTGTTGTAAGTTTAAAAATTAAAAAAACAATTTTGGAACGTACTTGGTGTGCGTCATATATTGTGCATTTCAATTTTTTTAAAGTCCTATTAAATAGATTTTACGAATTTAGTTAAAAGTAAAATATTTTGCAACCGCGCACACTAAATACGTTCCAAAATTTTTTTTTTTATTTTTAAATTTACAACAAAATTTTTTCTAATTTCGGAAAATCATATACAATCATATCGGTTACTTGGATTTTTCAATTTTTTTATTTTTTATCTTTTTGTAAAGAAAAAACTAATTTTTTTTTTCTTAATAGTCTTATGAATGTGGACTTGGCGCGATTTTTTTACAGTGAAACTTTTTTTGTTCGGATTTTAGTATTTTTTGTAATTTTAGTAAAAATTTACAATTGGTATCAATTTAAATCTCGCGTTGGCTGCATTTTTATAGCAAACTATTCCCTTGCAGCTACAGTTTATGTAAAAATAATTTCAGCGCACCCTGGTGGGTGTAGATGCAAGCTGTGAAATATTTTTTTTAACTGTAGTTTCCCATCTGATGAAGGATTACTATGCATTCTCGAATATTTTAGTCTGTGGCAGATCACTTTGCCCATCGACAAAAAGTCAGGATCGAAATTTTTGCGTTGCTATAGTTTGTGCTGATTAAATTTAGTAATTTCAAGTAGATTAATTGTTATAAGTGAATATAATTAATTAATAACAGTCAAATAAAGTATGAATTACTGTTATAATATACAATTTAGAAAAAAAAAGTACCGTAGAATTAAATAAAATTTTGCAACCTCAAAATACCGTTCTGCTTACAGTAAACACAGTCGGTAGTCTGGCGCTCCGTTGACAACGGATTTGAACGGAACTTGGCGCCAGATTCTACCGAATCTGTGGATTAAGAAAAAGTTTGTGATGATTATAAAATATTGCAATAATTAAAAATTTATTGTAATAAGAATTTGGTTTTAAAATACTTTGTCATGTTGTATCGCTGGATATATTTTATGTATTAAATTTTATCATTAATATTAAATAAAAGAATAACGCTATAAAATTTATTTCTTCATGTAAATATTCATCAATTATTGTTATTAAACAAAAGTTGAAAATGGATCTCCTTTAAAATATATTTTATTGATTTGAAAATTCGCGCCATTTGTCTTTGCTCCGACATTTTACTTGTAACAACGTTGCCACATAGTTTCCTTGCCACTAGTCACCGTATCCCCTCTACAGAAAATAATCGCTAAATCGAGTTATTTATTTTAATTTTTTATCGAAACTACGTGGTAAATAATTCCTATTTTTTTTATATTATCAAAATACAGTATTCTAAGTAATATTAGTTTTTCATAGTAATGGTGAAAGTAATTCATTGATAAATTAAATTAAATTGGTCATTTTCCCACGCTTTCCCCATGCTACGTGTACAAATTATGTCATTTTTAATTGCAAATATCTCAGGTTTGGTGTGGTAAATCATCTTCAAATTTTAACAGCATATGTATTATACATTTAATTGCTTATATTCTGAGTTTCAAGAAATTCTTGAAAAATTGCATTCATAACCGTACTACCTTGTTAGCCGACATTTAAAAATATGTAGAATTTTTTTTTTCATTGAAAAAATCATTAAAAAAAAATCTCATTTGTAAAAAACTTGAAAAACTATAAGTCCAATTTAAAAAAAAAATTTTTTTAGTTCTAATTTTATAAATGAAAAATAATCAAAGAATTAAAAACGTCGGCTGACTTTAGTATTATTGAAAATTATGTGGTATAAACAAATAAGCTAAAGTTGGATAATTTTGTAAAACAAAAAAAAAAAAACAAAAAAATAACCAGACATTTATAATCAACATATTGAATCTAAATCATCAAATTGCTGCCACGTCTACACAAAATCATTATCACCTACCTCGTCATCAACATTTTTAGGATAAAAAAAATCAATGTCGCCCCCATCTGTGCTTGTGCAAGTTAATTCCAATTCATCACCTTCTTTCAAATTAATTTCTTCAAAGTTTGGAAAAATTGTGATATCTGATAAGCAAACTAAACAAAAAAAGTTTTTATAGACTAGTTACTAAAGACACTGATCACAATTGCTAATACTTACATGAACTACTTAGCAGTAGAATAATTAAATGCCTCAAATCCATTTTTTTCAATTCTCTGCTACTCAATGAAGTAACAGCTAAATGTGAACTAAGCTCAACGATTAATAATTACTATTGTTAAAAAAACGGCCTGAAATCGTTAGATTAAATGGTCATAAACCATAATTAGATTAAATTCTTTGGATGATAATTGATACAGATATAAGAATGTGACATACATAGATAATTATAAAATTGTTTCTGTCGGACAGGTATTCCGTTAATGACATTGTCGATAAATGACAGATGATAAAGACAATAGTTTTATGATATTGAAAATAAGTAGTTAATAAAGATGACGAAGAAACTCTAGATAAATAACATCATGATTATTTCATTAAAGTTCTTATATTTAAAATTAATTATTATATTGAACCTTAATAAGTTACTTAAACTATATTAAGTTAAATGTGGGCTTAATAGTCATCTTGATTAACTTTAACACAGAAAACAGAAAAAATAATTCGGACAGCCCCGGCCGGGAATCGAACCCGGTTTCTTTTGGTTGCGCATTAAGAGCTCTTCTAGTTAAGCTATCTAAGACATCGTCCGTAACAACCCAGTCTAATAATTTTTTGTTTAACAAGATAGAGAAATATTTGTTAAAATACAGTCGATACAATTGTTAATCAATTTTTTTTTAATTAATATTAACATTCATATTTTATATTGAATATATTTTCAACGTATCCAAAAAATTTTCATTTTGAAATAAATATAAAAAAGTATGGAAAATCCAAAAGTGCACGCCTCAGAGCGCTCATTCATTTTTTAAGAAAAAAATTAATTGTGTCATTAATTAAAAAAAAAAAAAATTATAATTAAGTAATTTCTTACAGAGTATTTTTTATTTTTTTTTTAAATATCGGCGCCCTTTCTTCTTGTCATGCGCGCACGCAGTCTAAAAAAAATCTAGCTTGATCAAGTGGCGCCATAGTTTTCACGTGACAAATAAGGAAAGTTCGTTTAGCTTTGTACGGTTGTATCGTAGTAAATTTTAATAAAAATTCAATTAAAAAAAAAACTACGTAAGCTAGGCCACTGATATGCAATACGGACCCAGTTCATCGAATTCTTAAAGTAATAAAAAAGATCCGGTCTTGAAATATCAATTTGTTCGGGAGTAATCGTTGGTACATTCAAAATGGGGTGACATCCGGACGTCCACGTAAAATTTTTTTCAAAACGTTTTTTTTTTCAAAATAGCAACATGAAATGATTTTAGAAAGTAACAGATGGTTTAATTTAAGTGTTTTTTCGATGTACATCTACTTATATCATTGTATAAGTGTAATATGGTTGTAATAGAGGCATTTAAAGATCACAAAATTGCTTGATCTTAACGAGTCGAGTATAAAGCACAACCTCACGCGCTTCGCGCTATGAGGCGTGCAAAATTAAAATCGTCAGAATTTTTTTTAAGTGAACAGCACACCGATTATCGCAAACAATATCTACATAAGTCAACAGAAATAAAATTAATATTTATATTACTCAATTGACTTCAAACACTTGATACTAAAAATTAATTTTTCCAAATGGCGTTTTCGGATAGATTCCCATATGGTTTCCTATATAGGAATTCAGGGTAGGTTCCTTCATAGATTCCCATATTAATCAGGCGAAAAAAAATTTATTTAAAAAATTAAAAATAATTATGAAGTAATTGCTATTAATTAATTATTAATTGAAATTAATTCTGAAAAATGGATTTTGTAATTTTATCTAATGAAAAAACTGCGGGCGTCTGATGGACTTGAACCCGGTACCTCATGGTTGACAGTCTTCTACGCTACTCACTGGCCTAAGTCACGTTCTTACAAGGTCTATGTTTATTCCACTTATATAAATTCACAATAGGATTCCATACTTCCGATGTGGATTTCCCATACAGGAATCCATGTACCCACAGGTTCCTATGGGGATTCCCATATAAACTCCTGTGAATTTTTTTGATAGGGAATCAAATATTTATAAGTACCTGTAAAAAATTATTAATAATATCCCGAAAATATGTAAGGTTTAATACTTGGCTCCTTATGTTAATTAATTATGTATTTGGGGCGGCATATCGCAGAAACTCAGTATTTAATGTTATTAATTTTTGAGAAATGTGTTAGAATATGATAAAAAAATTATATACTTCGCTAAGTTTTTCTTTATTGCTGATCAATTGGATTATTTCATACCTTATGAATTTGATAAGCGAATATTTAAACTGGAAATTAAAATTAGACTTGTCACAATTAATTGTCAATCAAGTCTCAAGAACTTTTTCGTAAGTTTTTCTTTTTATGCTTTTTACTACATTTTATTATATAAAATATAAAACTATAAAAGTGAAGACAGCGAAATAATAATTTTAATTAATTTGCAGCTTAAGTGCGCCAGCAAAAAAAAAAGCAAAATCTACAAACATGCGACTTATTAATTTATTTATTATTTCTATCGAAATTTTGTCATCCCATATTGTGTGTGATGCTGAAATTCCAAATGTAAGTATTCAATCATAAATTGCACGATTCATAATGCGAAGCATCAGAGAGTGCTTTACGATCGAACAAATTTTTTTCGCCTCATTTCGGCGACTATTTTTATAATAATACTCTTGTTAGTTTCGAAACTTTTCTAAACGAAAATTAGAAGTTCAATTATCTAAAATAATGTTGAAATTTAGTTAAAATTTGAGTGTTTCCACGAACTACGTGCGAGTCCTTCTAATAAATTTTATCTCGGGTTTCTTCGGCTTCTTTCGGATTTACCACATATGATTAACTCCTTTGGTAACTGAGAGTTTAGAAAAATTCTAACCTGATATTTAAAAAAAAAATATTGTTGGTATTTTGGACGGCTGATGATAAGAAGCATCAGAGAGTGGTTTACGATCGAACAAATTTTTTTCGCCCCATATTTCGGCAACTATTTTTATTATTATACCCTTGTTAGTTAACGGAATCAAGATATTTAGCATACTATTGTCTCGATTATTTAATGGAGATTAATTGCATACTTTTAAAAAATTTATTTAGTGCAATAGAAACGGAAAAAAACATCAAAATAGTTTAAAAAATTTTCCCGTCCGTCAAACGGGTATGAACCTTGTAAACACTGTAGCTTGCCAAAAAATCCATTAATTCAGTGAAATGTTTTTTTTTTTAATTCTTTGAAGGAATTGCAGGCCCCCTACCGCGGATGGCTATGTAACTCAGTGTCGTTTAATTGCAATTAATAAAATAATAAAACCAAAAGACTGTATATCTTTATATATTATGTACATTAATCCCACTAAGGCGCCTAAGCATTATTGTCCTATTACAGCTGTTTTATATTTATTATTATTCATATTTAAATGACCATTATGAGTCGTGCACTTTTGGACTTTCCGACCTTTTTTTATTTATTAAATCTTGCTTTATTTACTCTTATAAATTGATCTTTTAGAACACAAAGCTTAACTCATCACAAATTCAAAATAACTCTAATGATACTTCAATTGATAATACAATTAAAAAATTAACTGAGGATGAAATCAGGCAAGTAAGGAATACCTGGATGTTATCCATTCAAGATTATGCAGTTGAGTTTAGAGACGATATTTTGCTGAGGTAATAAAAATTAATATAAAAAAATAATTAAATGATCACCTTTTACCTTGAAAAAATTAACAAATAAATTAATAAAAGTGCTTTTTTGACCTTTTGCAATTTTAAAGCAGAAAAGATCAAGAAAAACTAGGTGTAAATCTGCAGCATATTTTTTAAATAAATTTTTGATTATTTAAAAATCAACTTTGATGACGATTATGACACTTGAAAAAACTTTTTTATCCTACCTAGGCCCAAAATTCGGATTCTATCCATTCTATCTGAGACCCAAGTGATACATTCTATCCTCGGTTTACCTTTCTATCCTCGGTTTACCCATTAGTGCGCATGTGCGATAATATGCGCGTCAGTACTCACACGCATCAAGCTTCAGAACAGCTGTCACGACGCCATTAGTGCAATATCT